TACTTCACCAGGTGGCCTAGTTTTGCTGGTTGTTTGCATGTCTTAAGTTCTGAAGTGGACGTTACACTAACAAAAAAATCCCTCATTTTGTCCAATCATGGAAAACTTCAATCTCACACAAGGTCTCTGAACCAGGTCTCTGAACCAGTCCAATCACTATAGCTTCCTGTGGCTTAATAAATGCAGAATTTTGCTTGGTAGCAGGCCACCTATGGTCTATTTTTAGATTCAGTGCTCAAAGGTGATACCAAATGAGGCCTAGGAAGAGATGAGGAGGGCCAGAAGCCAGGAGCTCCCAACTCCACTGACAGCTAAGTTTAACTATTACCACCTATTATTATAGGTAACTTGCATCCTAACTAAGAGCAAAGGAATGCATAAAAATGCCTCTCGAAGTAAAGGATATTTGGATTGGGACAGATATCCCCTGTAAAGATCACAAACTATTTAAGGACTCAGAATTATGACCAGATTAGTGACCCTATGCATGGATTAGTGCACATTGAAAGGAAATTAATTAGAAGCTGGCCAGCAGGGCAGGACTGGGCGAGTTGGTCGGACACACCTTAGAGCCAACCTCCCACAGTCCCTCCCTGGCATTTGTGGGATGAGTGGGGTCTCTCTGGTAGGTGGAGTTCCTCGACCTGGCCTGCAGGGATTGGGCCAAAACTGGCTCTCTGACATCCCCCGAGGGGTCTCAGAGTATGAGAGGGCACTCTGCAAAGTTTCTGTTGTACAGGGTGTGGAATGCAAACACAGTGTGCAGTAAACTAGATTGAGGACCAACAGTGTCCCAGCAACAACATGACCCATGGCTGAAGGTAGAATCGCGTGGCCCTGTGAGGAATCGGGCTCCCTCCTCTCTGGGCTCAGGGTGCATCTCCTGAGAACCACTGCTGCCAAGTCACTGCAGCTCGGCAGCTCCTGCATTGAGCGTCTGCCCTCTGGTGGTCAGTGAGCATCATAGCGACTGATCATATGGTTGGACATAGCACATTAGCCATTTATATATATATATAGATTATAGTGAGGAAATAGAAAAGGCAAGGAAACATTTAAATAACTATTAATTCCCTTGTGAGGCTGCTCCAACTTCAAAGGTGTTTGATTCCAGGATAGAAAAGCAGTGTGGACCCATTCCAAATAAGATAGTAATTACAGAGCAAAAATGGCAAAGGTCTCAGATGTCCTGAGAGGCCTAATCTCAGATAAATGTGTTCTGTATTTTTTTATTAAAAAGGAAAAACAATCAGATCTAAGGGTCTCTGAAATTCCTTTCTGTCCCAATACTAAATTCTGCCTTTTATTACATTAAGATAAATATTTGTCCTATTTCAAATATAACCTTCTGCAATTACTACAATGAATATGAGTTAGTGAAGCTGACTCTATTGTAATCATTTGACTCAGTATTTATTAGCTTGTAAAGCTCTTTGTATAGAAAGTAAAAAATGTAAGTGAACCAATTATTTATTGGGCACTCTTCATGTGCCAAGAGTGGTGTTATCTCATTTGAATTTAAAAAACAATGCTCTGGCCAGATGGCTCCCTTGGTTGAAGAGTAGTCTCCCACACCAAAAGGTTGGAGGTTTGAGTCCCAGTCAGGGCACATACCTAGGTTGTGGGTTCAATCCCTGTTTGGGGCACATAAAGAAAGCAATTGATCAATGTTTCTCTCTCACATTGATGTTTCTCTCTCTCTGCCCCCCCTCTCCCTTCCTCTGTCTCTAAAATTAATAAACATTTCCCAGGTGAGGATAAAAGCAAAATACCCAACTATCTATGAAATGTATAGCTCCATTTTACAGATGAGGAAATTGGGGTTCACAGAAGATAAGTTTAAAAAGCATGACATTGTTTGGGCCCTCAAAATGCATGAAATCGAACTCTTTTGACACCAACTCTTATCCACACCAGTTTTCAAACATCTGATAATAGGAACCTCCGTGTTTTGTGTCCTAGCAGGGTGGCTCTCATTTAAAAACCTAGGAAGCCACTGTAATGTTCAATAACATGGACTTGGCACTATTGAAATTGACATTTATTCCCATTGCCACCAATCAAAACTCCACTTCCCTCCAGCAGTGGCTGCAACTTGAAAACTCCTTCATAGGTTCTGCTTCTTTCCTGTGATGGTGACTCAGGTCATTGAACAGATAAATCATCATATGAGGAAAGGAAGTAAGTCCCAAACGGAATTCATGGGGTCGAGGTCAGGAGCTGCATGTGGCTCGAGTTTGCAACTGAGATTCTAATGCATTTCAATTTGATTTTTAATGGCTTTCTATTTTACTTCTACCTTCTGAATAAAAAATGTCCTCTGCCAAGTAACAATTTTACTTTACCTTCAGTTCCTCCTGCAACAATGGAAATAGCATTTCTTTATAAAATATAGTTAAATCTCAGGGCAATCGAGCACTTTGGAACAACTATAGAAGTTCATATATCTGGGACATTGACAGAAACTATACTATGAATTATTTTTTTAAATCCAGTTTCCTAACCATTAATTAGGGTTTTGTGAAATGGTCCCTAAACTATTGTTTTTTCTAGTAAGGCTCAGTCAGCAGCCTGAAGAATAGAACTATAAATGCCTCTTTAAATATATATATATATATATATATATATATATATATATATATATATATATACACAAATTTAGACTAGAGCAAAGAAGAAGAAAAGAATGAGACCAGCTAAGTCTCATGCATGGCTCAAAACAGTCACTAATACCTTAAAGATAGAATATAATATAAAAATGTAAACTAAGAGTATTTCTCTTAAGTTTAAGTATTAAAAATAAAGCATTACTGAGTTGAACAAATAGGATCAAGTTTAACAAACAGGATCATAACAAATTATGACCAACTTTCCAATGTCAGGAGTTAAGCATCAAATTGAATAGGGAATTTCAGTTTCTAGCCAAGAAGCAGTGACTGGATTTACCCTCTCACCTTAAGTGGCTAGAAAATAAACAAAATATGTGAGCCAATGGTTCTCAGACACTGCACAACAGATAGCACAGGACAGTGATCCCCAAGAGAAGGCAAATGAATGAGGTGGGTTTATCCATGCATCAGTTTATTGGCTGGAAGGCAATTTCCAGATCAAAGCTCGGGGAAGTAGAACCCAAACGGAGCCCAGAGGTCTTGCTGAGTTGAGGAGACAGAGATCAGACCTCAGGGAGCCCAAAGCACCTAGAATAGCTGGGACGCCAAACTATAGACAGATCTCCAGAGATCTGGGGAAGAGGCTTTGGCTACCTCCTGACCTACCTGTTGTGAAGAGACTGCCCACACCCGGGGAAAGCACTATAAGCAAAGAGTAGCCTGGATCGAGAAATAGCATCCGTCTATGTTTCAGACTCGCCTGCTGAACTGACATGGCATCATTCCCCATTATAACTGAAGACCCCACTACTGAATACAGTCACACAGGACTCAGATCATGTCCAACATATCTCTGAGTCCAGGCATAAGTGGCTGTGCCACCTCATAAGGTGTCTTCTCATGTATACCCTCTGGGAGGCTTCACTGTTAGCAGGGAAGGGGAGGAGAGGGAATCAGCTTCTGTATCACATTTTTGGGTCCGACATGGACACACTGGGGCTCCTAGGACCAAGTGTACACTTTTGTTAATGCACATAGCTCAAAGCCAAAGAAAAGAAGCTTTACTGTTGTAGAACTCCTGCAGTCACTCTAACTGCTGTTAGCTTTCCAAAGGAGCGAACCATTTGCCCTTCTCATAGCCTCAGCTTCTTGGCTACGCCTGGAAGGCCTTGGATCATTTCTGACCTTGGCTTTGTATGGTCCCATAGCAACCACCACAAACCCTAGTTAAATATCTGTCTGGACTCACACTGTCTTCTGGAAGGAAAATTCCCTGAACCCAAACTTACCCAATCAATACTTTTAAGCACATCTAATACAGAGCAGGACAAAGAAATAGAGTAACTTTACTATATTCCATCTGTCTCATTGTTCCTTAAATTGATTTTTTTTTTTTTTTTTTTTTTTTTTTTTTTTAGTTTCAGAGATTGTGGACATGGAAGATAAAAAAACTGGACTTAACCCACCGGTACAATCTTTTTGTCTCTCTGTCAAAATGCAAGCCCTGCCTTCATTTCATCCTAGCCAATATCTACACCCTTATCTCGTTTGTCAGGCAATCCCTGTTCTTCCTCATACTTTCCCACTTCATTCTCTTTGTTTCTCACATTCCTTTTCTCTCCTCATTCCCATTCAATTCTAGACTTACAATGATACACTCACCGAATGTGCTCATAAAAATGACCAGCCCACACATACTGGTGAAGAGCATGGGGTCTAGGGCCCATTAACATGGATTTAAATTCTGGTTCTGCCACTAACTGGCTGTGTGACCTTTTGCAAGCATATTAACTTCTCTGCATCTCAGTTACTTGTGAAAGTGGAACGTTGATAGTATGTGCCTTGTAGAGTTGCTACGAGGATTAATGAGGCTCTCGGCACAGAGCCTGGCACATGGTGGGCTCTTGATAAATATGAGCCGTTGTTATTATTAGCGATGTCTCCTTTCACTTGGGGTTTTTGCTTAGTGGGCTACAAAGTCATTGATGAAAGGAGATTCTGATATTTTCATTTTTTTCAGAGAGGAAAAAAGAAATAGGGTAGATTTCAGGCTCGTGAATTAAAAGGGAAGAAACCCATGAAGAAAAGAAAAAGCAGTGAGACCCAATGCCCTGTTTCTTCTTTTGCACTTTTGTTCTCCTCTCCTCAGAAACTCATAGAGAGGAAGCTTTAGCACCTTCAGGTCCTCAGGCTCAGAATACAGCCTCACTTCTGGCCAAGCAATACTGTGTTCAGAATCACTGCTGACCAAAATCCAGCAGATCCTTCTAAGCCATGTCATAATGTAGCAAAGCATCAGAAGCAGAAAAAAGTCATGCAACTCATTTTTTAACAGCTTGTGGAAGCTGTGGAAAGGCTTGCTGCACAGAGGAAGAAATAGCTTCTACTCACCTGCAGGAGTCCACTTGGCTGATTAAGGCTTGTCCCTTTTGCAAAGCATCAGCAGAGCAGCCTTTAATTTCTCCGTGTAATTCCTCGTGCCTGGCTGCCAGGACAGGCAGGCTTAAACCCTCTGACTTAAGGAGCTTAAGGTAAGCCTCGACTCTTCCAAGTACATCAAACGCCTGCCAAAGAAAGCACACTTTCATTTTCTGCTTTTCTAGTTTAAAAATCTAATTGATGTGTACGCGAAATACTAGCGAATAAGCCAGCCTGTTTAATTTATTAGTTTTATCAAAACCAAAAACAGCCAGGTTAGTCTTGGAAAAAAGCTATATAGTTTTAAGGTTCCATTTAGAGAAACTGATCACAGCTTAGTTCAGCATACATAAGTGTCAACACCTTAAAATCGCCAAAATAGTTTACCTTGAGAACGTACCTAGACAATAGTTATAACTGTGTAATAGAATTTAGAAGGCTGGGTTTATTATTTGCACATTCTGAACTGCATACAAATAATGGATGAAATATTTTTAAAATGTTATGCAGACTTTCATAACCTGAATGTCTCTGTGATATCCTTAAAAGAAAATGTCCCAATAAATGGCACTTTCAGACTGAAACACTGCAGGGAAATAGCCAAAAACTTACTAAGGTGCTTTTGCCCTTGGCTATCCAAGTAGAAGACCTTCTGCCTACTCCATCCACAGATATCCATCTCTCTAAGAGAAGATTAGCATTTGGATCTGAAGCAGTACAATTTTTAGCAGTAATATTTAGCTTCCAGCATACACATAGATTATGCAGAAAAAACATATTTTTGCAAATTAAGATATTGTCTTGCGAGAAGATTTTTTAATTCTTTGACTTTCTTCCTTTATTAGCAGATCAGCAAACAAGCATGGGGGATTCAGTTTATAGAATTAACAGAGAGCAATGTTTTGGGGCATTATGAAAAAGGAGTATATGGTAACAAGAAAATAAAAGAGGACTGTGTTAATATGAGAGAGAGAGAGAGAGAGAGAGAGAGAGAGAGAGAGAGAGAGAGAGAGAGAGAGAGAGCAGAGTACAGTGGTCTGTATGGGTCTCCTCATAGCCCATTTCTGAACTGGAGCCTGGAGAGCAGGATGAGTTTGGTAAGGTGAAGAAAAGCTGAATAGCCAGGGAGCTCATGCTGTGTTGCCCTCTGGCACTACTGAGAAAGCCACCTTTCAGGGTGGTTCATACCAGTCTGGAGGAACTACCCCAGGCAGTTTGGCAGTGCCACTGACTGACAGCTGGGGCGCTGAAGTCCACCCTCCCTGGGTTGCTGAGCTGAAAGCCTGTGAGCTCAGCAGGGGCCTACCAGGTGGAGTAGGGGGACCCTACAGGAGCATAGAGAGCAGAGGGCCTTGTGAGTCTAGCACCACGGAGAGCTGAGAGAGACCAGAGGAGCCGGCTAGGCTGATGGGGAGGGACCCAGTTGAAGACAAATGGAGACACAGTTGTGAAGCACCTATGCCTGCCCTGGCCACCACCTTGGGAGTGAGTTTTAATGGCAGAATTGGAACTGGAAAAAATTGAATTTACAAATGAAATATCTCAAATACCGTCATATTATGTATATGTTGATATTCTGTTCTCTTACCAATGTTTCATGAATCTGATCTTTCTGTTTATTACTTAAAATGCTTAAAAATGAAATAATTTCTGCCAGCCAGTATTGCTCTGTGGTTAAGCATTAACCCATGAACAGGAGGTCAGGGGTCATTTCTGGTCAGGGCCATGCCCTGGTTGAGCCTCAAGCTCCAGTAGGGGGCATGCAGGAGGCAGCAAATCAATGATTCTCTCTCATCATTGATGTTTTTTCTCTCTCCCTCTCTCTCTGAAATCAATAGAAATTATTTTTAAAACAAAAAAAATCATTCCCATTTACTTACTAGCTGATAGCAAGTAATAATAATAATGAGAATTATGTGTTCTTTCTATAATGTTTGTTTCCCAATTATTTTCCATCGCTTGACAAATAGTTTTTAAAGTCTGCTGAGTTTCAAACATTGTCCTTCACAGCCCAGGAGGGAGCTGGAAATTATCCCCATTATCCGACTGGGGAAACTCAGCCCAGAGAGGTCAAATAAATCGCACCAAGTGACGCTTCTACTAAGTGGCAGATTAGTATTTGCACTCAATTTGTCTGGCCCTGAGGGCCAGCTCTAAAACCAAGGGCTATGGCAGCACATGGCAAAGACTTACTATGGGAGGCTAAGAAAGCAGGGACATTTCCAAGAAGCCTGTTAATCTTAGGTTTAAAAGGTAGGATTTTTAAACTTATACCGTATAATTGTCTATCTTTCCTTCTTACCTGTGAGGAAAGACACAGAGAAAGGTTGAGTGATGTCTCTTAGCTATACAAGACTTTATCGAAAAGAGAAATTGCTTTTTACTAAAGAAACTTTGAACCAGAAGAACTTTTCCTCATCTAACCCATTTTCCCCCTGCAGGTGGCAACAGAGCCAAGATGCCATCAGAAAAGATGATGCGAATTACCCTCTTGATGGTTCCGTAACACATGGAAACACCACCTGGCAAAAACCAGTTTCTGGAATGTTGTTTTATATTTTAAATTTTTTATTGCTTAGTATGAATAAAGCAGAGTCTCTTATTAATCAGGGGTTTTAAAGTTGGTGCCTAAAGCAAAAACCTGTTGGATTCAAAATGACCGTGAATTCCCTTAAATGACACTTAAAAGTTGAGTATATGTAAGCTAGTGCTCACAGTAATACATGGTCACATTTAGGACTGAGGGCCACTGAGCTACACAAAAGGAAGGAATAAAGGGAGAGTCTGTTGTATGCAATTGTCACGGCATTCCCTTTTGTCTTCCTTAAGATAATTCTCACAACTAATGGACATAAAACTCTGGGGAGGGAGGGGATATGTGGGAGGGAAGGAGGGGGGCAAAAAAAAATCAATAAAATATGTAAAAATAAATAAAAAAATAAATAAAATAAATAAATTAAAAAAAAGATAATTCTCAACTTCCTAAGGTGAATGGAAGAGGACAGAGAATCCCAAAGTGATTTTCCTTGCCTGCAAGCTTACCTTCCCTCTGTTTTCGTATTAAACTGTTATGAATGTAATTAGGGTATGATGGTGCACGTGTAGTAAGTCCTCAGAAAATATTTGCCGGCTGTTACTCTAAATCTTGAGTGATGGCTCACATCTTTCAAAAACCACTGAGAAGTGCATGGTCACCCACTTGGGTCTCCCCTCTGTGGCCCATGGAACAGCTGCTACTCCCATGTCAGTGGGTCAGGCACTGGCCTCACCTTCACAGGAGCTAGATTCCGAAGCCACGTGCACATTAAATGTACATGTGATTGTGACTCCACCTCATTTCTGAATGCTATTGTGAAAGTACTGCTTCCTAATAGCACGGAAATAACTGGAATGACTACATATTCACTGGAAGGAGAAGGTGCTTATCAAATGCCAAGACAGTCCATAACTTAGAAAGAAAATAGCCACATTTTCCTCCAGAGTTTCTCTCTCAGAAAAGACCAAGTGTCAAAAACATTTACTTATGAATTGCTCTGCATATCACACTTATGGGAATGATGGCAGTAGAAAGGAGGTGAGGGATTTCATTCCTTCTTTAGCTCAACAAATACACATATTTGCAAAATACTTCCTATGGGTACCTAGGCTAGATTCTACAAGAGAGCTGATTCCTTATCCTTGATCCTCACCTACCCCTATTGGGAATAATCTATGAGCACAGAATTAAACTTCTTCATGTGAAGAAGAAGCCTCCTTCAAGAAGATTATATTGTCTGTGATTGTCACATGCAGAGCTCTCTTCTCATATTCCCATGTAGAATTTGGTGAGGAATCCATGTACCAATTCCAGAAATGATCTAAGTATCATTGCTCTCGCTTAATCTGCTCCCAAAATAGAACTGAGTGCTTTCCTGTTCACCAAACCAGTAAGGAACCTAATACGCTGGACCCAGCCTGCAAAGCATCTCCTGGTTGCACACACAGTACAGAACAGCTTCTTTCTGGATAGAACACTGTGACCCCCACGAACACTCCTTTGCCATTAATGCTTGGTCTTTAGTTTTTCTCTTCACACCCCCCTCTTCCTGCAAACTTTGCGTGTGCCGGTCAAATAAAGGTTTGATGACTGGTTTGGAAGAGAAAGGAAATACGCACAAGTATAACATTTCCTCCTGCTAGGGCCCAGCTCTTCTTGACTATTTTGTGCGGCACCAGTCAGTTCTTAGGCAGATAAAAAGGAGATGAATAAGCTCTTTTTGGCCCTGGTTTAGAAAAACAAAACTAAGAAGCTGATTTTGTTTCTGTTCCTGAAGATGCTAAAAAAGATCTTTCTTTTTTCCCTTCTTAATATCCAAAGCAGGCTGGCCCAAATCAAATAGAGATGGTATCAGGACATGGCCCATTTGTATGTGTTTTTAAATATCTAGGAGATGAGTAAATTAAGCAAATCACTTAGCATATTTCTTATACCATGCTGTTTCACAAAGGTGTTTAAATAAGTAACACTCTTTGCTTCTTGACTAATTTGAAAAGAATCAATATAGAAACATGCACACATACACACACACACACACACACACACACACACACGCAAACAAACAATATCAACAACAAAAACACTAAATTGCAAAAACTTGAAAATTTCTTTCCATGAGTCCAAAGGCCAGAAAATGAGTTTTGTTGGAACCTTTATAATTGTTAAAGATACAAATTCAACTCTGCTTTTAATTAGAGGATGGGGTCAGTTTTTATAAAGACAAAAAGATTCAGTGTTTTTCCTCAAGACCACCTGGGATTACTTCTGATGGCTCCCACTATGGCAAGCAGACTGTTATTTCAGGCCTGTCCAAATCCACCCACGCTTTTCAATGCCAGGATGGTCAAGGGCAAGGAAGATATGGTTTTCAGCTCCCCATTTTTTTCTGTCCCTTACTGGTGCTCCGGCTCCTTCTTTACCTCCTTAAGGTTGCTGCTGCTGGGCTCAAGTTCTCAATCTAACAAGGTAGATTAGAAATGCTAATGCCAGGTGTCCAAAATTAAGAGTACCTAAAGCTGCTTTTGGGTTCACAGTCTGAAAAGCTCAAACAAACAAGCAAACATTGGGAGAGAGAGTCTGGGGTTGAAAGTAGCATGTACCTGAAGCAGT